TTCGATAGTACCCAAGAAATTACTTCTAGATAATGCGGCTAAAAAGAGCTTGCAAGGAAGGTATTCACCCACAATACATCATAGAACACTTAGGAAAGAATATTGTTATCTGTATAATAAAAGAGTGTTTTTGCAAGTTATGTTTTCTTTTTAGAAAAAAGTGGTCAGAAGATCGACGGAAAGAGTTGATGGCTATTTGTAACCTATAAAATATATAAAAGATATATAAAATATGAATATTTATAATTGATTATTTTAAAATTTATAATTGTTAAAATATTTGATCTAAGTAATTAGTTTTAAAGAGTTTTTAAAAATCTGTATTTAAGAGAAAAGCTATAATTTTATAATAAGTAATAGTCTTCTTTGAGATAGGTTATAAGTCTATTGATTTAATATTTTTGAATTTGATCTAAATTAAAAATATATTTATTTTTATTTTGTTTTATTTTGTTTTTTTATATAGCTTGTTTTATTATATTACTATCTAATAAAGTTTTTAATTTGAAATAAGTTTTTCTTTATTAGTTAGCTTTAGAGCTTTTAAATAGTAATAATTTTTTTTTTTGAGTTGTTATAACTATCTGATAATATATAGAAGAGTTTTGATTACAGAACTTAACTATAAAAAAGAAAACTACTACTATATCATATTGTATATAGATATTATTTAGTAACTGAGTAAGTCTTAGCTTACTAGTTAGACATATTAGAAAATTTATTTCAAATGTAAAAAGTTTGTTATACAAACTGTTTGAATAAAAGTTGAGACATAATTGATGAATTTTTTTAAAAAAAAAGCAATTTCTCTTTTGTTATTAGTTTTTCTCTTTTTTTTTTATAATAATTTTTTTCTTTATTACTTGAATTGATTTTATTTATATTGTATAGTTTTTATTCTTTTTTCTACATATTTTTTGCTAATATGTTTCTTATTCCTTTATATTTAGCTTCTCTATTGTTGTTTTCAACTTATACATATTTTGAATATTCTCTTTTTTACTCTTATTCAACTTCTCTTCTTTTCTCTAAACTCTTTGTACTCCTTTCTTGAAATGTTATTTGTTCCTCTATTTCTGTTTTATTTTTTGTTTTTACTTCTTACTTTCTTATTTCTGATTATTATAACTTGTTGTTATAATAATATATTAAGAATTTAAACTACTTACTATATCTTTTTCTTCTTTAAAATAGACTGTTGTACTCTCTATCTTGTTATTATTTGAATTCTTGAAGATGTAGAATGCTTTGGCGTCTGTTTTTTTTAACTTGTCTCCATAGAATACTTTATTTGTATTTTCAGATAAATCTAGTAGTAGGTACATCAAAAAAGTAATTTCTTGTGATCGAAATGCATCGAAAACGTAATTTTTGTATCACTTGGCGTAGACACTTAGGGTCCTCCGCTACGCTCCGGTCAAAAATAATTTGTATCTGTTATTTGTGTGTTACGTCCAATACCCTCTACAATAAACATTTTACAGTTTGTTTTTTTCTATAGGCTAAGGTAAGGCATAAGTAAAAAGAATTTTGGTTTGTAATTGCCAAATTATTATTTATTCGATCAAAATAGACAGAAATGACATATGAAAAAGTGTTTGCTAATATTAGTGTGGCCCTATTGCTATAAAATCGATTCAGGATTGTTCATCTTGTCGGTCTTATTCCTTGAAAAAAAAAAAAATGATGACCTATGTATCCAGCTAGTCGTTTAAATAACGTTATTTTGATAATAATGATAGGAACTTTTGGTTGGAACAACTAAAATGTAATAACTGATAATATAATATAAATGATTCACCAAAATGACTGAGTCCAATAAAGTGAAAATCTACTTAGATATACAGTAGCTCTATCGCTATATCTTATAAAAATCAAATTTATAGCCTTATTTATAGTATTCCAATCGTACTTAGTGCGAAGAATAAAGTTTAAAAATATCTCAGATATGGTAGCTATAAAAGAGCATTGTCGTTCAAAAAATAAAGCTGATTCTTAATTAGAAATCTCACATTTATAGGACGCGATGTAAATTTTTATTATCATTCAATTGAAACAAATATTTGCTAATACCTTAATCATCAGTCATGTTAAGACTATTATCGTAGAGCCTTTACTAAGGGTAATACTCACTCGAAAGGAAGTATGAACCACACAGTACTACAATTAAACAAATTTACAAGCAGATGTGATAAGCCAGGACTCTGAGAATTTTGACCGTTCTGGAAGCTAGAACTTACTTGCTCACCTAATGTATAGGCTTCATCTTTCATCTACATTAAGGTCAAAGCCTTCCTCACTGATGTGAAAGCCAGAGCAAGTAACAGAGGAGGTGGGTTTACTATTATGGGCAGAAAAAAGGCAAAAGCTTTAAGAGTAATTCCTTGATTGATAGAAGCAAGAAATTTAAGAAAGTTGGCTAATTATAGTGTGGTCTTTAAACCCATCATCTTAAGCTCCTTTCTCCATTGTTTTTTTTGCAGCCCTTTATGTATTCAGTATTTGGAGAAATTTCTATAAATAGTAATATGTCAGGCGTATCAGTATAATACGTACGTAGCAATACTGCAATATGCATGAGTATCGTCTAGAAATTACAATAGCAATCGGTATTGTCTAGAAATTACTTATTTTAATGGTCAGAATGGAATACTTGAACTGACGCAGCTTAATTTATAACGATAATAACAATAATGTGTAACATACTACCGGAAGTTAGAATTAGAATTCCGTTTTTACAATATAAGAATGGAATTCCGTAAATAAATCCATTTATTGTATTTATTCACCAATTATTATATAACCGAAAAAGGAAGATTTTTATAAGAGAAATGATGAATTCTTATAGAACACCTTCAACAAAACTTCTCCAGGCACGTTTGCCAAGATTAAAGCGTGAAATAATTGAATTGCGAAATGATCCTTTGAAAGGTGTTGATGTAATAATTCATGACGATATCACTTCAATGTGCTTGATTTTGACACCTTTACAAGGTCCGTTTTTCGGTCTAAGATTACATTTGACTGTTAAAATTCCTGAAGAATACCCTCGTAGTGCACCTCAAGTGTCAATACAAACCAAAGTCAAAGTACGTTTTTAAATTATTTTTTTTAATTCATCTTAACTTATGTACATTTAAAATTTATTGTAATTATTCTAGCATCCCAATGTATTCAGTACTGGATATATTTGTGCGGATGTTTTACAAGATTATCATACTCGATCTTCTAAAGGGTATAACGGAGGATATACCTCCGGTTATTTATTGAAATACATATACTTACAATTGCTGAGCTTTTTTTCTGATCAATGGGTTGAACAAGAATATGGTGGTTTAAGTAAAATTCATGTTGATGAAAATTTTAAATTAGCTTCGAAGCAAATAGTCAAAGGGTATTCATGCACAAAATGTGGATACAATGAACCCACATGTTCTAACCCCATAAAAGTAATTCTTACTGATGATGAGATTGAAAATCAAGATATTTACGGAAACCTCGTATCTTCGTCAAGTCTTACTTATGTCAATAATGATGTTAGTATGCAGACATCTAATACTACGGTGAATGATTTGAATGACGATGCTTGGTTGCATATCTTGGAATTCTTAACAGAACAAGATATTTTTTTATTATCTAAAGCATATCCACGTATTAGCATATTAGTTCGTTATTTTAACATAATGTTACGCCGACAATTGGTATGTTATTATCTTCGCAAAACTTTTAACGAATCGGTTCTCGGAATTGGTGTTAGAGCTGGTTATGGTTCCATAGAAAAACGTGAATTAATAATTGAAGAATTTGATCTTTTTTCATATGAAGCGTTTAAGGATCATAATTTACGAGATGGAATTTGGGGAAATAATTTCACACATTTTCTTCCAATTGCTTTAAACCAAAATCACTTTAATCGATCACTTCCGATACTTAAATTGTCTTTAATGCAATTACGTGACTATTCTGAATGGAATCCATCAATAATCTTCAAAACGATCCCAGGAATGATGAGTGCAATGGTGGTGAATTTAATGAAAGCTTGTGATGATAGTGGTGCGCAATCGGTTAGTAATCGTAATCTGGTGGTTCTAAAAGCTTCTGAAAAAGCGTTACAAGGATATTGCCTTTTGCTTCATCTTTTGACAATGCTGGCTGAAAAATATCCGGAAATTACCAAAGAAGCTGAAAATAAAATTTCTAGATTTATGAGCTCTGAAGTTGAACGTCGTAAATCTCATGCGCCAAATTTAGGAGAACTAATGATTTATCTGTTCTTGTGCAAAAATATGGTTTGGTCAGAATTTTGCCCGTATTTTTTGCAAGAATTAATGGCTCGTAATGTAGTTTGGTTTTTAAACAAAGATCCTGGTTTGGCATACATAGAACCAGAAAATTATCGTTCAGATTATCGACTTAATGCCACATTTGAATTGAGTAGTACTTCTCTACGTCTTGTATTATTTCAAGTTTCATTTCTTAAAATAATGCAAGGAATTAGAGAAGATATGAAACATAGATATGGTTATCCATCGGATGAAATGAGCACTTCTTTACTTTTATTGATCAAACAAATATATAATGTTAAAACATGGGATGTTTTCTTTAAAATGATAGACTTTTCTTTGCCTGAACAAAAATGGAAACTTGTAGTCTCTAAAATGTTGAAAAATGCAATCAGTGAAAGTTATAAGAGTGGTTATCATCAAGTTCCATATACGGTTAATGAACTCTATTTTATTAGACTTAAGAAAGAGTCGCGGATGCCTCCACCTAGGTGTTGGAATAATGGTTCGGAGGAAATGAATAGATTATTGACTTATGGATGTGATGAATCACAACAATTTCATCCAAAGAACCAAAATAATCAATCTTATAGAGGAGGTCGCGGAGGGCAAAATAGGAGAGGTGATGGTGGACGTGGACGTGGACGTGGCAATGGACGTGGCAGGGGTTTTAATTATTAAACTAGTTCAGTAGTTTTTAATTCATGTTAAGTATTGTTTATTAGTAATCATAGTGTTGGTGAAAATAAATACTGTATATAATAATCGCAGAGCATTCTTATTTTACAACTTCATATGGTTAACACTAATGTTTGAAATATAATGTGTTCTCTAGAATAAAAAAATTTATGCTCTTTCTTGAGACTTTGAATTTTCTATTTACAGCTGTTTTCATTATTTTTGGGACATCTGGTAAAAAATTGACCGAATGATTTTCGATAAGTTTTTGATTTCGGTAATAATCGATTATGTAATAATGTATACTGTATATCTTTGCTAATGACAATAATCTGTACAGG